TTAGTTCCGGAACAGTTCCAGCACAGCGCTGGAACTGCACAGCTGTGCTGGGATTGTTCCGGGACTTACGGATTAGTATGAACCCAGCCTAGGCTACCGAAGCTTGGCCTTTCTACACTTGTGGGTGGGAATTTACAGAGCAGCTCGCGGAAGAGGAGCAGAGCATAAGAACCGCAGCGCGAAACACGAGCCGCAACCGGCAAGCGTCACTTCCAATGACACAGAGAGTAACGAGTGCGATTTATTTCTACAAAGCGCCGTCGGGGGGCGGAACGTTCTACAGTTTTTGCTAAGCAGAGGAGGTGGAAGAAGATATCTGCCCCTGCGCAACGTATTAGAAAGATTCACGCAGGATGGCTCCTGGATATTGTCGTGCAAAACGGCCGCCTCCCTTTATGCATATAGAGTGCAAACAACAAACGTGCACCAAAGGAGTACAGGACCATAAGATACCTTATAGGTATTCATAGCCGATTCATTGCACGCAGAGAAAGGGCGCCGTTGCGGACCTCGTCGATGTCTCTCCAAACGCACTTTTATTACCTTATTGTCTCTTCCAAACACGTCTTAACCGGACGCAATGGCGTCCAATCTCTGCCTGCGCTGAATTCCTATACCTGTTTGCTACGATCACTGCTACAGACGGTCCAATTTCTGCACTCCAGATAGGATTTCGTGAGTGAAGATATGATATCTTGCTGGCACGAACACCACCCATTATCCAGTCATTGTCCACTTCCACCGTATCGCCAAGTACCTTAAAAACTTGGCATTTAGTTTTATTTACTATAACACAACTCAATCTCTGATCACATACGCCCTGTACGCCTTCGCTTATCATTGCTCTCTGCTCAGGTACATCTAGAACAGCGCTTGCTGGCGATACCTCAACCCTAGATGAGTCCAGTGGGCGTAGCAGAGGTTTCTGAAAACAAACCTAATCCTTAGTCCCTAATTGAATTTTATGATATATGACTAACCTTGAAGTCTGCCATCAACATTTTTGTTCTTTTGCTTAAATCATCCAGCTGCGACTCTTTTTCTGCTTTTGCATCTACATCTGATGAATCAACGTCATCATCTGTACTTTCCACCATAGAGTCGTCGGTTGAGGCCAGACGGCTTACAGTTTTCGCCGGCGATTTATCTCTAGAATCAGTAAAAGTTGACATGAGGACGTGTCTTAGTGAAAGGCTTTTCCAAAAGAGCCAAGCAAATATCCCAAACATGTTAACACAACATGTCAAACATGTTACTTCCTGTTCCGTCATGTACAGTCAGTTCAATCAGGAATTACCTCTTTCTTGAACACTTTACAGGTTGTCTCAGTGATAGTGTCATATCTCCAGCAGCTCCAGTCCTTAGAGTCGCCTCGCTCGAAGGCAGTGTCCAGGCAAATTTGGGGCTATGGATTTTCTGCGACTAAACTGATGAGGGGGTTCTAACTAAAGCATTGCCCAA